AAACATACTCTGGTGGATCATCGAGATCATCCCCACATACCACGAGTGGCAAAACGACCAAGATGAGTGGGTAGGGACGTGGAGGTAAGTCCGCGTGGTAACATATATAAATCACATTAGTAACGTCTTGCAGATTTCATTTAGGCCGTGGGCGAGAGGTGCCTTCCCGACCCTTGTTCCATGAAAGTGTCAAGACACGTATGAGTGATCCGGTATTAAATTATTCCCCGAGAGCGCAGTATGAGAAGGGTACCGAGTTGTACGTTTCGTGAAAGACGGGAAGCTACGAGCCGCGAATGTAGGCTTCCTCGTAGGGTGCTTATTGTATTTGGCTCAGCTCGTATTGACCCAGTCCTAATAATGTGACCAACCTAACGCCACTGGTGCTTCTTGTCTTCTCAAGACACTGCCGGCGATCGGCATTGACTTATTGCGAAATCTGACGGCCACAAGGCATCAGAAATGACTTGACAAGGCGAGATGGATCATTGATTAACAGCGCGACACGAGCCGAATATAATCACCGATCATCTCCGAACTGCTGTTCCAGCATTGTTCCATCATCTATCAATCGCGGCAGAAAACTTAGGGACAGCTCCGCACAGCCCTCGGATAGCGAGGGCGGAATGAGGGGAAGAAGTATGTCGAGTATCGGTGTCAGAGTGATATTAGAGGATGCAATGAACAGGAGAGTTCCCTTTAGGCGGGGCTTGTCCTCAGCACTACGGGGGACGGGGGACCTGATAGGCACGCTGACTGTGCAGAAGCGTCAGGTGTATGGGCTTCTAATTAGGCGAAGTGTCGTATCCAACTGACCAAAACGTCATGTATCTTGATGACTTGATGACCCAAGTAGGGTGCCTGCAGGCTTAGAGGAGGCGAACACGTTGCTGAAGCTATCGATCCCGCCACGCCGGCACTCGGACATTAAATTGTGGAATTGACAAGAGCGGTGACAATGGGAGTTGGAAGACACCTTCAGCTGCGGACAGGGTAACTCGGGAGGAAGGAGAGAGCCATTCGGAAGGGGAAACTGAGCGCGACACTTTGACTCGGTTCCAATGAAGGGGGGCACCGGAGCTTATGTAAGGGGGGTGGACACCATTTGGGCTTCCCAAAGCCATCTTTCTCACCTTGTCCACCATCTGTCCATACCCGCAACAACGACGCACCCGGAAATCCTCCCTTTTCTCCAAATACCATGCTGGTGGGCAACCCTCCACACCAATCTCCCTTCACTCTCAATGCTACCGACCTATCCGACTTTGTGAACCTAGACCTGTTCACCACCCAGAGTTCAACAACCTCCGACTCTCGTGACCCCTCCCCTTCTGTGTCCAGCCCTCTCTTCTCCCCTCTGCCTGTCATATCCGAACCAAATCCCTCCGACTGGTTCAACTTCTCCCTCGATGAAGACATCACCAAAACTGACCAATCCGCACCGCCACAAGTTACCAGCGTCCCTTGGGATTTCCTCACACTTTCGAAGGATAGCCCCGACTCCGAAAGTACGAGCCCCGGCGGCGGTTTATCCCCTTCTTTTGCCATCGATCCGCAGCTCATGTCGAGCTCCATGTCTCCGGAAGCCCCGCACGACCTTGGTGAGGTGGAGGACTTGGCAGAGAGAGAGCGCGAGGAAGAGGACGAGGAAGAAGAAACTATCACACTGTCGCCCATCAAAGTTGGCGGCAAAGGCAAGTCTCGGAAGGGCACTGTCCAATCCGGCGGTATTCAGAAGAAGCCAACCGTATCAGCGGTCGTAAGGGATAAAGACGACCCGAGGGATGATGGCGATGATTGGCGTCCTTCGCCTGAGGAATACAAGAAGATGTCTAGCAAGGAAAAGCGTCAGCTCCGCAACAAAATCAGTGCCCGTAACTTCCGAGTGCGCCGCAAGGGTGAGATAATCATCTTATTATGACAGCCGTAGCCGACGAGAGCACACACAGAGTACATAACGACGCTCGAGGGGGACATCGCCGAGCGTGATCGTCTCATTGATCACATCCGCACCGAGCTCGGTTCGAGCCAGTCGGAGAACGCGGCGTTGAGGCAGGAAATCAGCGCGCTCAAGAAGGCCCTCGTCGCCGGTGCTGGCCGGGCCGACTCGCCCGCACTGCCACCGCCGGGGCCCATACCCGCGACCGCCCCAAGCCGTGCGAGCTCCTCACTGGTGACCCCGAACACGCAAAAAGATCTCCCATCATCACCTCATCTCGCCGCATCAGCTTCCAGAGCATTTTGGGGGGGCAGTGCTGCTTTCGGTGGTATCACACCTGTCCACACGACACTTATTCCTGAGAACTTTGCGCAACCGCTTGCGAGCGTTAAATCTTTCGACGGCCTTTCCAAAGCTACCTTCGACTGCGATGCGGGAGCGAATCCATTCACAATGAAGATGCTCGATGCGTACGTCTCATTTTCTATCCAGAGGTCTCCCTCTTTACCGTTTTGTAGGAATCGAATGCGACTGTGGGCTCGTATTTACCAATGCCAACCGATGCAATCTCAACAGCAACCACCTGTCGCTCGCTTGGCCCCGGGTCTACGACCCCACCATTTCGCGTCACCACCTTCTTCGTCTTCAACGTCCTCGCTCCTTAGTGGCAAGCGCGCTTCTACCTATCTGTCACCGCCCTCATCACCGAAGCTTGGTCCTGCGACTCCACCATTCATTGGTTCGAACGAGCCACCCACGCCACAAGAAGCTTTACTTGCAATGATGGCCTCACAGACGCTCCTGCAACGACTCGGCAGTGCTTTCTGGAACGCGTTCGCTGCTCACTCGCCATCGAATGAAGCAACTCCGAGTGCTGGAATTCCGACTCTGGACGCAGACAAGATCCGACGTGTCCTCGAAGGAAAAGCAGTTGTAAGCATTGTCGACATCGAGCCAGAGGCGAACGTGCGTGTCGCCCTATTTGATCCACCCACCCAGACTCTCACTGACAATACAACAGACGCGCGAGGGCTTGACGGGTTGTGGCCGGACAGCTGTGCTCGAGGAAGGCATGCGCGCGCTGAGGTTGAGCAAGGAGTAGACATCTTTCAAGCTGTGTTTGTATCATTTGTCACGATTTCTGGGTTTGTTTGTCCCGCATTAGCATCCACTTTGGCTCCGTCGTCTTTGCCGTCGCTCGTCTTATTCGCAGAACTTGTCTCTTCTCTTCCCTGTTGCTTTTGCTTACAGCGAGCTGTGCCATTCTCTGGCTCCACTCCCATCACACGAGGAAGTAAATGACGATTTCATACTTGCTACTTGCATAGCCGTAGCCGACCAAAATCCGTTGAGCGATCGTCGGTCTTGTAAGCAAGCGTGGCTCACTCGGAGAACAAATGACCCGACAGGTTCAGAAATTCAATTACCCCATCAGGGCCGGATGATGACGGTTTACCGGCCGCGTGATACTGTACGTCACAGCCCCGGCACTTGCTCCACAAATGTCTGGATATGGAAGGCAACATACCCGAAGAATCTTCTCGTATACTCGCACCGCAGTTCGGGCCCACTCGGAAGATGCGCTCTGGACATCTGATTGGGCTTAGAGCAGCGTTTCAGCACAGAAGAGCTGACGCCTGCGGCTGCGCTGACCCTCTCTCCCCCTTCCACCATCCTCTCATTCGTCACACTTCTATTTTCTCTTGTCTCCCCACTTGTTTTGTATTGACCTGCTCCCTCGCCCTGATGATGATGTTCAAGTTCCCCACTGCGCTCCTCTTCTTTGCCCTTGGCGTCTCTGCCGCTCCCACACTCCGCTCTGTGAACCTATCGCAGCGAGACGTTTGGGCACCGCCAGTCACCTCCCCGGACGCGTCGACAGTTTGGACGGTAGGGTCCGATGTGACCGTTACTTAGTGCGTTTGAGCTCGAGCTGAGAAACGTCGCTTCTCATTCAATTTTGTCCGTGCACCAGGGATACATCGACGCGTCCTGTGAATGTCACGAACCCCATTGGGACTCTTTTGCTCGGGTACCTCCTGCCCAGTGGTGAGGGGGGCGAGAACCTCGATGACGGTCAGTTCACTAGTTCAACGTGCATTTATTGTAGCCTCTCGTACTCATGCTTCATCGTCTAGCTAACCCACTGGCCAAAGGGTTCCCCTTGGATGATGGCAGCGTCTCGTTCACGGTCCCGATCCCACCTTCCGCGCCCGACAATACCTATATCGTCGCTCGTGCGTGTCCTCTATTTCTTTTGCCTGTGTTGTGATGTTTACCGGACTGGCAGTCATCGGCGACTCGGGAATATCAGCCCCAAATTCCAGATCATTTACTGAGAAATGAGATACGCTATCTTACTACGACGATTCCATTCCCTCATGACACATTCTGACATTGCAACGGACATCGGACTGCACGATTGAAGACGCTGTATTTTGCCAATGGACGCTTTGTATGTAACTGGACAATCTTTGATGAACCATTTCTACTGTAACATAATCGTAGTCAATCCCTCCATGCATTAATCAGCCCCCTTTTTACACGGACATACGTCGGTGTTGGCGAATGTATAATGAAACAACTATGACACGTGATTTCCCGATAGCACCGTATGCAGCCCCAGAAGAACAATTGATATATTGACTCTGACCCCTTCTCTGACCCCTTCTGGACTTCTGTCCTGCTGGCTGCGCAATGCCGGCTCCTGTAGCCACGCTCATGTGGAAAATTCGAGTTACGGTCGGAGCTCGAGAGTGCCTTTCGATTTCGAAATTGTTTCAGGTGCCCCTGCTGAAAGACTCCGACTGCTGATATAGCGCTGATACTTGATGGTCTGTGTTTGTCACAAATGGTGCTATTTCTGGTTTGGAAGTTGCGTTCAAACGCACTCACAGATGGCGCTGAATGCCAACTTTGTATACAAAGGTGTCATTACGAACGAAGAGATGATCCTGACACTGGACACGAGGCCAATTTCTACTACGAAGGAGAAGAAGTTTCTGGACCACATATGGTGTCCTCATGTTGTTGCGGTCGATGGAAAAAATTGAAAAGTTAAAGGTCTTGCCAGGGTTCGAACCTGGGTTCCGGGAAATCGGTTTCATAAGTCAAAATCCCGAGTGATAACCACTACACTACAAGACCATGGCTGAAAATGACCCTATGCCAAAAATAATAAGCTAAATTCCAACCATGACCTGAACATGATCAGATGACCATGCCACGGTCATGTGATGATGCGCCCGAATTGTGCCCCACGGCCGATACAAGTAATTAATATTCTTCAGGGGCACAACCCGAAGTTGGACAACGTGTCTCTGTCTGTCATGTCAACGCTGCGCATACATGTTGAAGCAGTCAACCAGCATTCCTCGCTTTGACCACGTCCTCAGTCCGTCTCACTCTTTATTGTTCCAAGCCACAAATCCTTGCTAATCTACGTTCAGGTCCTCAAGCCATCACTCTTCTCATTCATGTCCATGCCTACGACCGATAAGGATCCCTTGTACCATTCCCAGTACCTCCTAGGGCCCATCGAAACCATCATCCATTCGCATCGAGCGCTCGCTTCGGGGCATCTGTCGCTCCACGATGTCACGGAAGCCTATCGCACCCTTTCTGTGAGAATTAGGCGTTCGTCATGTCACCTGTCTGCTGCATCATACCCCTTTCCGGCCCTCGAACTGCTCAGAGAGAAATGCGCAGATATTATAGCGGCCTTGCGGAGGGATATCTCACGACCTCTATGTAATCCTGCAAGGCATACACCCAGCGATTGGTCTCCCACCTCTTTTCGCCACATCGCAGACGTGGATGGGGGGCGGACGATTTACAACCTGAATCATGCGATAAACCTTTCGACCCTATGTCATTATGCACTTCGCCTGCTATCGGAGATATTTAGATTTCCGACACTCTCGTCGATGTTCACGCGTAGGTCCGCTTTTACTATCTAGGCCCCATCCTCACGATGCAACCTAGTGCAAGATCTTGGTGTCCTCTTAGAAGACGTCCTTTCCATCGCCCGCCGCCCAAAACTTCCGTCCTCTAATCCATCAAAAATTGAAATGCTCTCATCATGGGTCATCCGGACCCAACGGCTCCCCAAAGATGTTCTGCTTCCTCGGATGGATGACATTATCTTATACCTTGAACTTATTTTCGAATCCAAAGCTACAGATACCCATGTTGTTGCAACCGTAGTGGACGCGCTTAACGTGAGCCGAGAATTTTTGCATCATACATGGCACTAATCTATCGTGTCAAGTGTATTGTTAACTTATTGACACTCCATCGACATATATTCATAACACCTCTAGCTCGTCTCCTCCCTTTTATCCTTTCCTTTGTCATGCATACGTCTTCAGAGCTTCGCCATCATGCAGCTGTTGTCCTTGCGTCGTTTTCCCACACGCTCATTGCTCATCGAACACTCGTCGGCCAAGACACTATAGAGTCTATATGCTTTCATGCACATTCATTTCTCACGCCCGAAACGACGCGTCATCCAACATCGTCCCGGAATCTCCCTCCTTTGCTTGATACAGCAGTGTCGTCAAAAACGTTTGGCGGCATGGGCGAGAATTCACCTTGGGCATTGACTGTTGTGGCAAGCTTCGCCATCCTTCTTGGACCTTCACTTTTTTTGCACCATGGGCCTCTCAAGCTCGTCATGAACATCGCACAGAAGGCTCTGAGACATCGTCCAGGTCGTGATCTCAACCCTCACGTTTGGCGTACTTTTATTTGGTCAATGAATCAGCTCTGTGTTCGACGAAGCTTGGCTTCAGATGGAGATATCGACATCGTCCGGCGTTGCGTTCTCGTACTCAAACAAGCGTTACACTTTGGTCTCGGTGCAGCTCTAATCACCTCGCTACTGGAGGCGACTTCCACAGATATCCAAAACAAAAGTATGCGAAGATGGGTCATCTCTAGTGTGATCGACGTCATTCGTGACATGCTGTCCAGCAAGTATCAGGAGATTCGAGACGAGGCTTGCCGGATACTTGGGTGCCTCACTTGCGAAGTTGGTGCCAATGATAGCGCACAGCGTAAGACTGCTAGGACTGTCGATACCTTGCTATCTCTATTCCTCTTTGACGGGTCGCTCCTTCGTGCTGATAAACTCCAAGTCGAAGAAATGGCAGGCTCAACGCCCATCTTCTCACCCCGGTGTCTGTCCCAGGAAGAAATTTTGTCTCACTGGCGTCCAATATCATCCTGCTTCATTCTTGCCGTCCGGAATAGTCTCAAGGACGGCGACGCCGATCTGACGGTGGGTGTCTGCCCCTTATCTCCCGATTATCTTTATCTTTCATCTCTACACCATGCAGACCATGGCCCTCCCTGTGTGGAAATCTCTCTTGCTTGCTCAAGCCGAACCCATCCAGGAAAATGGCCGGCCTAATGCCTCCACCAATTTTGGTTTGCGATTGTCCTCTCTACTTTCGGACTTCCTCCCTGAGCCGTTGGTCTCTCTGTCTGGTGACGCAAAATCAATCGAGGTTCAACTGCAATTGCTCGTCATATCGAAGCAGCTGTGGACTGTCGCCCGAGACACCTTTTCACGAGCCTGGCTCGGTCCCATCGCTGCCTCATTTCTGGCAGCCATACTACAGCGTACATTCTATCTTGCTGATCAGGACGTCCTTAAAAATTGGAGTCTATTGTGCTCCGATCTGATCATAGTTGGTATTCCGAACGCGCTCGAGTCCATTTCGCACCACGACGATGCACTGCATGCCCTGGAAATCAAGAGACAGCTTTGGCGTCTGGTGGCAACGCACCACGATAGTTCCGTGCCTAGCAACTGCAGAATCTCGTCTCAACCCTTGTCTTTCCTTTTGGGTGAGCAATTCGACTGTCGCTCAACTGTCCTTACGTATAGTGTAACGCATCGTAGTTCTTGGAGCATGTCAGTTGATGATCTTGATCTCTGGGAGCGTGTGTTCGAGCAGAATTTCTCGGCTGTGGGCACATCCACCAAGATAGTCGGTGTTATCGACAGCATTGCCAGAAGTGTCCGGCGATTGGCCCAGGTATGGTCGTGGTGGAGTTTCCATGTCATTGACGTCGACCTGGTGTAGATTTTCATTAGATACTGCTTTGCGTATCGCTCCTATCATTCTTCGGCACCTCAATCTCGACGAAGGAGATTCCATCTCGACGGGGACGTTATCTTTTCTTAGTACGACCCTCACCGCCTCCTACCCGCCGCAACCAAGCACAGTCGATGCTGCGTTCAAGTTTATCAAGGTCTTGCATCAGATGATGACATCCGTGCCTCTCTCTTTGCTCGAGTCAGTCATCCTCGCTGTCCAGACGGCGCTGGCTGTTTGGATAGAAGACAAGTGTGTGTCTCTGTCGGCGGAACAGTATAACGACCTTGTCTGTGATCCTTCATTTCATTCCAAGGCCCGCTACTCAAGTCGTCATCTTTCGCAGCTGATGTCTCTTTACGATTCACTCCTTATGCGTCTGGAATCGCTTCCACTATCCGTCGCGTCTTTGAATGCCTGTGTTCCGCTCCTTACCGCAGCGTTTTCGCGCATTCCCTCCCCAGCGCTGGGCCCGGCCGCGTTTCTACGCTTCTTCTACACGGTACATGCCCACCTTGCTGCACCACCTAGCGCATACAGTGATGAGCTACGTGTGTGTATTGATGCCTGTGTGCGCGGGTATGGTAGAGAGTGGCCACCTGGCATGGTCCCGCTTAGCTCGAGTTCCCAAACGCAGACCCAAATCCCAATGGAAGCCCTATCAGCAATTGAACCACCAACGCCCCTTGCGGCCTGCGAGGATGTTGAAGAGCAGTTCCAACGTGTGCAGTCGATAGAGGTAATCATTTGTGCCTCGCATCTTGGAAGTTTCGTTGAGCTAGATCTCATGTGGACACGTAGCACGAAGTTATCCCAGATTCCCAATGTGTCGGCTCAAACGCAGCGTTAGGTATCTCATCGCAAGCAAGATCGGTCCCAGTATCCATCCAAAGATCGTTGCGATTCGTGCCTTCCATATTACCCGATGCTCCAGAAGTGCCCTCTCCGACGCATTTTGTTGAATCTCCGAGAGAAGGCCACAAATCGCACGATTCTACCAGACCATGTAACAGCCCTCCGCCGAAGAAGCGTTATCTTATCCAAGACATGCCGGCTGCAAAACGCCGCCGTGTAGCAACTTCAACGGACGGTTCCTTACGTATTCGCTCGGAGCCACTTGCGCGCGTGTCTTCGCCTGCTGTATCTGACCCCGCTCACTATCGGCGCTAAAATCCTCTCCACGTAATAGACTGGTCATGGATTGTGTCGAGGTCGTGCCTCTCCATGACCTTTTGCATCGTCGAGGAGCAGAAGCGCAGAGGAACGGCAGGAGACCCCAGAGGAATGACTCGGAGGGTCACGCATCAGATGGCACACCGGAGAGGCCGTTCATGCCAAGAGTGATGCGAGAGCGTCTGGAGAGAGACGAGATAGGTTGATCACTCTCCTAATACTGGAAGTCAGCGATATTGATTAATCGTTGGCACAGTTCCCGAAACACCGGATGCCTTACTGAGACCCGCTCGGATGTCGTTGCTCACGGATCAAGAATCAGGTAGGAATTCTATTCCAGAGTATACGAGATCATCTTTGGACCTTGGATACATTACAGGCTTAGACAACGACAGTCCTACAAAACTGCTCAGTAAAGCACAACCTCTGATCCGCCTACCGACGACGCCGACGCACCTGGTTGCTGCCCTGCAAGACGTACACGACATGTTGTCGCGTCCAGGGCTGTCGCAGATACCCGCAGAAGAATTGGCAGACTCGGCTCAGTTGTTGGATCCGGAAAATAGACAACTGCGAAGAGCCCTAGCCTGAGAATGCATCTCGCTTGAGGGACGGAAGGATTTCATGCACGGCACAATATCATGAGACGTGACGGCGGTAAAGGGGCACCCAGGCGCGTCCATTCGCCTTGTCACCGAGAAACCCGGTGAAAACATCAGCACTCAGCCGTGGGAGCAACAATGTAACCTGCCGATGCGCTTCTGCCGCCAATGTTTGATTCTATAAAACTCCAAATGGAGATGTTTCGAGGCGTTCCGTTGCGTGGAGATCGCCCGTTGCCGTGAATCGAAGCGTTATAACCAACAAACC